ATAGAATATTAGGACTTGAGTATGCAACTTGGTGAATACAAGAAAAACAATGTCTTCCTCTCTTCTCTATCCACAGAATGCTCCTCACGAATAGCTGGGGGTTTTTCTCCACCCCAGCCAGTTCTCTGACACCACTTGGGTGTCCTGCAATTCAGCTCTGATACCATGTACCTGGAGTTAGCTCCTGATACAAGTTATGGGCTGAGTCCCACAAGACAGCCCCTTACACACACACTTAAATTCCAATCTCAAGTCCGGACCTCCTGAACTTCTGATTGACAGGCTGTAAATCAAAGGTCCTGCAAATTCCTCCTTAGGTTTGATATTTAGTAGAACAACTTACAAAACTCAGGAAAGCATTTACTTATTATCCATTTATATTATAAAGAATACAATTCAGGAACAGCCAGATAGAGGATCTGCATAGGACCTGGTGTGAAAGGGTGTGAAGCCTCCATGCTGCCTCCAGCCTCCCCACCCTCACAGACCCAATGCTCTACAAACCCCTTCAGTTAGGGTTTTAATATAGGCTTGGCTACATTGGCATGATGGATCAAATCACTGACCATTAATGAACCTAATTAATTCAACTTCCAGCCCCTTTTCAGGAGGTAAGGCTGAAACTTCTAAACCCCTGATTCCATGATTGGCTTCCCTGGCAACCAGCCCCATCCTAAAGCTATCCAGGAGACCCCAACCACCAGATATCATACAGAATGACATATATTACTTAAGAGATATCGAGGGTTTGGGGATCTGTGTGTCAGGAAACAGTGGCAGAGACCAAATATGTATTTCTTATTATGTCACAATGAATCTCTGCTGGGAAGAAGGTGCATGCAGTTCTAGACTGCATTTGTTCAAGTCATGCAAGAATTCAACAATAGCACATAGTGTGTGCAGGCTTCGCTCTGAGCAGGAGAGCTGTGACGATGGCCAAGCACACCCTGCCTAAGGTGTGTGACTCCAGTTTAGCATCAGTCCTGCCTGCTGTCTGCTGTGCCAGGGAGTGCAGTTGTTCGCCTTCACAGGTGCATGCTGTGCACTAGCAAATCAAGGCACAGTGACTCATAACTGTTCAAGAGAGTTGCCTGCCTCTCAGGTATACAGCAATAAAAAAGTGTTGAAAGCTTTAATTAGTCTTAATCATTCTCTCCTTTGGAATAGATTTACCTTCTATCAACCTCCCCATCCCCACCCCAAATGCAGTTTACCACATGAAAATTCTCATGTTTCTTTAGTTCTGGAAAATTTTGCATTTTCTTTTTTATTGTTTCCTTTACCTTAATCTCCCCTTCTGTAACTCTCGTTGGAACTTTTCATTTGATTCTTGGAATCTGTTAACTTTGCTTTCATAGCTTTTATTTATTTTGCCTCCATATTCTGGATTTATTAATTCCCTCTTCCACCAGCTTGTATGCAGCTTCATTCTATCATTGGTTTTATTTTTTAATATTGTGGGGTTTTATTACCTGTGGGATTTCTGCTTGATATTTTTTAAATCTGCCTTTTTTTTTATTCACCTACTCTGGCATTATGGATTCAGTCCCTTCTTTAGAAAATGTGCACATTTTAAATGCACTTCCTTTAAGATCCACTTCACATCTGAGTATATAGGTAGTCACCCCTGATTGGGTCTGCTAACGTTCTTGTTAGCGGGGCTCTTTGTGTGTTTTGTGATATTTGTTTCTCTGCTCATCTTCTGCCTATGATACCTTCATGTTCTGTCAGTGTTATTTAACTCTTCTTCACACAATCATATTTCCAGAGTTTGTTCCTTCAGTCCAGACACTTTCCCTTCTTCCCTGTACTGTGGTTGTGCCTATAAAATACCATTAAACCATTAAATCCATAACACAACTGAGAGAAAAATGGGATCTTTGTCTTTATTTCATTCTTGACTTTTCTCTTTTTAGAGAAATCTCTTACATAAATATTTTTGAAAATCTTATAGAACATAATGAGTGGTAGCTACTTACAGAAAATTGAGAATATTAACATCACTGCCTTGTTTCTTTATGTTTGAGTTATATGCATATTTATTTTTTATGTATAACTATTTAAGAAGAGGGTCTAATTAATCCTAACTAATATGTTCAAATTTGGCACAAATTTTCTCTACGTCTAAATATTTTTCATACCTGTCAGCAACTGAGATCTAAAAATAAATCTCTCATTCTGATACATAGAGTACTTCAGAAACATGCATTTTCAAGAACCTTCAAGCACTTCCTATAAATGGATTTATAAAATACTTTCCATATGCCTATTGGAAATTATTTTTATTCTTTAAATCAGTCTTCTAAGAAACAGTTTTGTAGGCAACTTATACTGAGGTAATGTGACATATGAGAAAAAGAATAGCCCATGGATTGGAACCTAACAAGAGACCACTGTGTATGTCAGGTGGGTCTCAAGTTACTCTTGTGCCTCTGCTGTCCCACCTGTTAATTGATAATTATGTGTTTTTCCAATCTCTGCTATATCCCAGGCCACACATTTTCAGGGTGTCTGTAATGTTTTATAATAATTATTGATTATGTGTCATTCTTAGTTAATAACCAGGCACTGCTTTCAAGGGCAGGGCAAGTGCCCTACCATTTTGGAGTCACCTAAACCCAGCAATATATACACTGTTAACAATTGGTGAATTTAGAATGTATGCCAGTTTTTAGATCTATTAACAATTTCCTTGGCTGTGGACTTAAAAAGATAATTTTGCATGTTACCTCTAATCAATTAATAAAATCAATGTTGTTTTCTTTTATAATGGTAAATGGGGTCAGATAGGTGGACTTACTTTCTTTTGCTAACCTATCATCTTGAGTTGGATTAAATAAATATAATCATCAAGTTTAATCCAGTGCTTTAAAGATTAAAAGCTACATATTCAATTTAGTACTGATCATTTGGGTTCATATCCTCCTTTGAGGTTCTCATGAAAATTAATAATTCCTTCTCAAGAAAAATGTACAAGCACACATACATGAAGACAGTATTTGCATGAATTTAAGAAACCTGTATATAAATGTGAAAAAAATACATAAGCCCACACACATATATATATAAATAAGGAAAATACTGATCTGGTACAATATCAGTGTGCTAATTACTAATTATTATTGAAAAACTTGGGATGTATACTTTACTAATATTTTTAAAGAATTTTATAGTTGTTCATTTAAAAAAAACAACAATAACTTGTGGTATTTTTTTTTCTCAGAATAAATACATTGGTTTGACCCACATGTAGTCTTTAAAAAATTTAGCCAACTCTTAATTTGGTGCATTTCATATTAAAATAAGGGATTCTGCTTTTCTTTAAAAGGAAAAAGACTTGTAAACACAGTCCACCTTCCCCCAGTCAACCAAAGCCAAGCAGGGGCTCCACTGCTAGGATGGAACTTGGCTGTCTAGTTTGCCACATTCCCCAGAAATGAGTCCTATGGCTGAGGGTTGATTGCCATTATCCCTCTGTTCAAACAAATGTTCACTTATAGAAATTACAGAAACGATTTCCTATTTTCATATTTTGCTCTAAAGAGTGGAAAAATGAAAGTCAGACAAAAAGGACACATTGCAGATAAAACAGGAGAGCACATAAATATATCTTTATGAAACTAAAAAATATGTGCCCAGTCTACTTTACATATTTATGGAACGTATCGAGCCTCTGCTTTAGTGAATAGTTGTCCTTCTCATGAGCCATTTGTTTGCTTGTTTTGTTGCCCTTCCTGTTGGTTTTGTTTTTATTCTATGGACAACCCTATCTTTCTTTCCAACAAAGCATGGTGGAACTTTATAACTTAAACTGGAGATAGTTAGGGAACATTCATTTTTGTCATATTTTTCCCACCCTTATTTCTTTTGTTATCAAATACTCTCATCAACTTGCTTTTTAATCTTTGTAAAACATATGCATATATTTTTATATAAAGCCTCAGATCATTTTGTACCATTCAGAATATGTACTAAACTACATTAACCACCTTCCTTCACTCCTCAGCAGCTCTTCATACAAGGAGGGCTTGTTGACACCGGTCTGTCACTGTAGGACAATTCAGTGGCCAGCTGGCTTTTTGATGGCCTTTTCTCTGACAGTTCACATTTTTTCACAGAAGGAACCTCCACCATCCAATGGGGTTTAAGCAGAGTTGCTGACACTCAGAGTTGAGCTTGGGCCTGGGTTGATCAGGGTCTGAGAAGGGGAAGCAGCTAACTATTTGATATGCAGATTTTGCCTTTATTTTCCCATTTATAAGCTATAGTCTAGGATGATGTAGTGCTTACTCTCTTGAATTTATCCAGCGTGTTTGTGTACTTATTTACAGGCATACCTCATTTTATCACATTTTGCATTCTTGTACTTTGCATATATTGCATTTTTTACAAGTTGAAGGTTAGGGCAATCTTGTATGGAGCAAAATTTTGGCACCATTTTTCCAACAGCGTTTGTTTAATTTGTGTCTCTTCACCTTTTGGTAATTCTTGCAGTATTTCAAACTCTTTTATTTATTGTGGTAGTGTCCATGATCAGTGATTATGACTCACTGAAAGCTCAGTTAATGGTTAGCATTTTTTTAGCAATACAGTATTTTTAAATTAAGGTATATACATTGTTTGTTTAGACATAATGCCATTGCAAACTGGAAAGACCTCAGTATGGTTTAAACATAACTTTGCTATGTACCTGGAAACCAAAACCTTCACTTGACTTGCTCGATTCTGGTGTTTCTTTTATTGTGGTGGTCTGAAACCAAACCCACAATATCCCTGAGGCATGCCTGTATTATGGGTCTCCCCCTAGAGCCCCTTTTTGATCATCTATGTGGCACAGAACCTAATGTAGCACCGAGCACATAGTAGGTCCTTAATAATGATTTGTTAAATAAATGAGGAAATGAATACATTATGGTTCCCATTGTAATGAAAATCAGTGAATCTAAAGGGTAGTATTTTTCAACCCTTTACATCTTCTGTGTTTTTCTTCTGTGCACCAGGTGCGGTACTGGAATAATGGAGGAGAGGAGGAATCATCAAGTAAAGTGAAAGTGGCGGGAAATGAGACATCGGCCAGACTGCGCGGCTTGAAGAGCAACCTGGCATATTACACGGCCGTCCGGGCTTACAACAGTGCTGGGGCCGGCCCCTTTAGTGCCGCAGTGAATGCAACCACCAAGAAAACTCGTAAGTGTATGCCAATTTTTTAAATTTAAACAGTTTGAATTTTAAAAAGTAGCCTACTCTATCCTTTTAAACGGACAACCCTAGTCAAAGTCCCACTGAGTAAAAAACAGGATTTCAAACACTTATAATAACCTCAGAGCCACACATAACTTTGTCTTCAGGATATTCTTAAGCCTTTACGCAGAAACACCATGTGAATATAAATGTGCCCCTTTTGAAAAGTCTTAGTATGAGGTGTGTAGTCAAGTGTATCCACTTTTCTTTTAAAATGTGATAATTTAATTGAGGACATGAAGAGATTAGTAATTTTAACACAATGATGCATTCCCTCTATTTGCAGAAAATTATTTTCCTTCTTAAGTTATTGTCAAAATTTATTTATATATTCAAAGCACTCAGTAAAAATGTGTGTTTAGTTGGTTTTATTTAGGAATGACACATTTTTCTTGATTGCCAGTTTCATTAATGCATTTCTGTTTCCATATATAATTCCCACATTTTTATGAGAACATACATTTTTTTGCTAAAATTGTCAAGAATACCAATAGTATAAAATCGGTTATCAGTGGCTAGCATTATAGATAAGTTAAAATATATATAAAACATAATTATACTACTTTGGATTTCATTGACCAGTGTTAATTTGATCAGGGAAGTTTACATGTTTATCTTTGCATTATCTATATAAAAGAGAGTTTGGCTACCGACTTACTAATATACTGAGATTGCAGAGTAAAAGATCAGTAACAATCTTAATCCCTTTAGTAGCATACATTTACAAACAAGTAACTAATATGATAATTAAATACTACTTTCCACTAATTATTAGAACCTGACCCTACCTCTTATACTTGGGGTTACAATAAGGAGTATATGGGTTTGGAGATACTTGAGAATATTCTGTACTTAGAACTTCTCTCCAAATATATTTGGTACCCCAATAACAAGTCTGAATAAGTAAGATTTAAGTGTATATATTATTTATATATTCAAAGCACAGCATCAATCAAAAATTCTGATTACAAAAATACATGCAAATTAGTTTATCTTGCTCTTTCCTTTGACTTAATAATTGATGTGATTACTTGCTACAAAATTATGATTGTAAAAGACTGTGTGACATCATAGAGTCAGTGAAGAGCTTAGTAAATGGGTAAAGCAAAAGGAGACTGAATATAAATCAATAGGGATACAATTATAATGTGTAATGAGTGAAATAACATTTTTTAAAGAAGCAAAAATGTTTATAATTTAGAGACAGCATATGAACACCCAATCTGAAGTAGAAATTCACAAAAAAAAGGGTGATTATGATTTTAATGGCTAACACCTACTGAGCAATTTCCAGCCACTATTCTAAGTACATTTCACATATTGATTCTTAATTCTCACAGAAACGTCATGACTTGGAAGCTATTAGTAGCCTCGCTTTGACACAGATGCTGAGGCATGCAGATGTTACATAGCCTTCATTAGATCACAAAGTAGCAGGATAGGCACCCAAATCCAGACATAGTCTTAACCAATGTACCATCCTCTCTTTCAACCATATAGCTAGAATATTCTTGTATCATTTAATACCAAAATCCATTAGGATTTTACTCTGTGCTTAGAAACTGGGTAAGGTGATCAATGATAGGCAGAACTTCCATTCATGGGAGCTGTATTCTCATGGGAACTGCAATAATTGAATAAAATCCCTCTGAAAGTGATACACTCCTATTGCTGAAGTTCAACTGGAGTCTGCATGTTGATCTCTAGGTGTTACTAGGGAAGTGTTTCCTACATTGGCTGGCAAATTCATACAGATAATTAAAACCCCTAGTCATTCTAAGAGTGGATGTAAAGAATGTGTTAATTTTTAAATTTTATGGGAGTGGTTTTTCAAACACACCAAAATACAAGTAAAACAGAATCTTTTAAAGCTGTTTCTAGTACTTTTTTGGCAGTTCTTAACAATTGTTCTAACCTTTGACATGTTTATCTTCACATCCCATTTAAGAAGTTGGTAAGGTTTTTGTGATTATCACTAGTAAAGAAAATTACCATCATGCTTTGAGCAAAAAGGACTAAAATAACATCTTTGATTACTTGCTTGTTATCTGTGTTCCCTTTGGGATTGTAAACTTTATGAGGAAAGAATCCTTCTGTATCTTGTTCACCCAGCCCCAGTGTCCAGCATGGCTCCAGGAGCCAGTCATTAAGTATTGAGTGGGTGGCTAAGTAGATGAATGAAATCTAAAGAAGCAGGTCAGCCTAAAGTACTATAATTAACCAAATATTCTTCCTCTTGACTGAATTGTGAATTCAAAGCACTTACTATATAGTCCTTTACAATTGTGCTTAAAATGTGCAAGTTTCATGTACTCATAATCTAGAAATTCTGTATGCAAAGCTTTATTTCAATACAGATTTTGGGTGATATTTTTGATTAACATAAAATACAAGGATTCTCAAGCTAAGTACTGCAGCTTCCATTAAACACTTAATTTTTTATATGCAAATACTTGTGTTTTTTGAAAGCATGTCTAAGTCAAACTCTAATTAGCCTCTTCAGGTAATCTAAAATGGGTTTCTGTTACTTGCAACCCAAAGAGAGCTAATTCTTAAGAACATCTTCTATCTCAAGGCACTAATGAGGAAAAACTGCAGATGGCATATAAATGACAAAATTTGTCGGCTTCCAAAAGGAATCATATTGAGAGTTTTCATGATCAGAGATTGCAAGAAATAATTTGCAGGTCATATATTCTGGTTTGTATAACTGAAAAGTCAAGTGGTAATTCTAGCTTTCAGTAGGGATGGATTCAGCTCTCAAACCACATCCTCAAGAATCGTCTAATAAATCATCAAACTGTATACTTCTAAAGCTAAGTTCTTGATTGCCACATCTACCCCCTTTAAACCTGTCTTTTCTACAGTATCCCCAGTTCAGTAAATTTAATCTCAGTATTTCAGTTACTCAAGCCAAAAATCTTGGTATCATCCTGGACTCTTCTCCTTCTCACACACTCTACAACTGATGTAGAACCTGACTTCTGCAAGAATCTGCCACTTTTTATCGAATTCACTGCTGTCACTGTGGTGCAAGCTGGTGCCTTCTTCACATGGGTGGGGGCAATGGCCCAGTACTGTTCAGCTCATTTCCACCCTGGCCACCCTTAAGCCAGAACCATGCTGATGTTGTTACTCGCCATCCCATTCCAGATACACGATAAATCCTTAATATACTAGGCAAGGCCTTCTTCAGTCCATCCTCAAGATCCTTCTCCAACTCAGTTTGTACCATTTGCTGACATGCTCAACCCACTTCTGCTTCACAGCATCTATATTTGCTGTTTCCTCCACCCAGAAAACTCTTTCTCCAGATAATCAAGTGACTTGCTCCCCGATTACTTTCAGATCTTTGCTCACATAGAACCTCAGTGCCACCTGACTGCCATATTTAAAAGTGCAGTCCCTCATCTGCTGACACTTCCATCTCCTTTCCTGCTTTGTTCCTGGGTACAGCACTTAGAGCTACTGTGTGTTCTGTAACTTCTAGTTGTTTATTTTATTCTGGTCTTCCCAGCCTGCCTTGACTGGTGGGCAAGCTCCTTCAGGGCACAGGATTCACCTGCTTTGGTCATGAGTCTATCCCCAGAACTCTATCTCAGTGTGTTACATAATCATAGGTGGTGCCCAGTACATACTTGATGAATGAAGAATCTTTTTATCTCTTCACTCTGTTCTATGATCGCATCATTCTCAGCAGGTTGCCCCTTCAGAGGACCAATACTGCCATTAGCACCTCCATGCTTATTTCTATCAACATGCTGGGAAGTGTGGGCAACTCCTTCATTATACCTCTACTCAGTGCCAAGTATGGTTCCTGACTCATCCCAAAACCAGTTGCTGTGGTCAGTTGACAGAACACCATGACTGGCCAAGCCTGAATCACATGCCTTGACCCTTCCCTGGAACAGCGGGATCCTATGTTTTTATGTCTTCACTGATTATACGTGTGTGTCCACTTGAGGGAACACAATAATATTAAGGGCATAATCAGATTTACGGTTGAGTTTTTGCCTTTCCAAATGGAATGCTCATCCTTGTAAGCTGAACCAAAAGTAATTGCCTGAACTTAGGAAACTAATTAAGTGTGTCCTCGGGAAATGAAAAGGTAATGTGACGGGGACAAACACTAAGAGAACATGAGTCAGGATATTTAGAGGTTTTGATAAAATGAATATTCTTGCCTCAAACATAATTTAGAAGATCTAGAGTTTTATTTTGTATAATTTAGTTATATAATCATGCACTAAGTTACGAGTCAGGATATATATTGATGAAAGATTTTCCAAATTTTATACACCATCTGCCTTCTCAGGTTTTTTTAATTTCTAATATTAGAGGAGGCCCATAGGTACCTAATACATTTTTCTTAAAAATGAACTTTACTTTAATGATTTATTTAAAAAGAAAATGGAAATTAACTGAGTATGGAAACCAGTATCATTGTCATAAATAGATGTTAACAATATAATAAGTTTAACAATATCAGCAATAATAAATCAATGAACAAATAAGCCACCCTCCATTTTAAATACTAGTGACATATGCTTGCCTGTTTAAACCTCTGAAACTGCTTCCTCTTGGTTTGAGATATTAGTATTGGAGGGATATTAAAGACCTACTAGCCCCCTAATCCAACTTTCTTTTCAAGCTAATGGGAAGAAAATAAAAGGGAATTTCTTTCTAGGTGACTGAATGCTATTTGTTGACTTTTCTGTGTATCACATTCCACATATGTATGTCACCTACTCATGTCTTCATATTGTATACCACACATCATATACACAGCAGAATACACTGCTTATTAATGTGCATATCTCAGATTTGGGAGGGGTTTTTTTTCCCTTGTCTATGGGCTTCATAAGCTCTGAAGAAGTTAACAAAATATTGAACTTTACTAGAATTTAACCAGGAAGTTAAAATACAGAATCAAGTAATTCCTCTGGACAAATATCTAAGTATTATAAACTTTGCCTTGTTAGCCCTTTTTTGAAAATAGTCCACTTAACTATGATTTTTTTAGACAATTATAAATACTCTCATAAGTTTACAAATCCTAATATTTTTATTATCTGAAGGAGAGATTTTGGTCAAGGAAATTCCCAGGCATTTAAAACAAAGAAAAGAACCTCTTACCTGATATGCTAGGTTGGACCCCAAGAAAAAGTCTTTTCTGAGTTTTAGATGAGTTAAGAAGTAGATGTTCTTGTTAAAAATTGAGTTGATTTCCCATAGTAAGAAATTAGTTTACTTAAAATAATTTCTATGATTCCAAGACAAATATATCACATTATTTGGAAGAAGGTGACTTTTGATGACCTTGATTTCTGTACAACATTACAAGTTTAAGGAGTTTAATTATAAATGCTGATGTTCAACTCAACTGAAGTTCAAATGCAAAGTATACTTTCTAGCCACTGTTGATTAAAAACTACTTACAATGGAAGTCATCTCATTACCATTACATAGTCAAGAAAAAACTTAAGAAATCTATTGAGTTTTGCATAATTAGTCGCAGCAAGCATATGTTGTTAAAATTGCATGTCTTGAAAGTAATGCTAGCTTCAGTATCATCGCTCTGGAGATATCACCACTGAGAATTCTAGACAGTACATTCTTTATTTTAACAAACTCTATATTTTATTATGTAAAGGAAAATGTATTCATTGTTGAAAATTCAAGAAAAAGAAAATTTCAAAACAAAAATAAAAATCATCCATGATCCTATCACTTAAAAATACTATTGTTAATATTAATAATATTATATAACAACATTAATAATATAATAACAATAAAATATTAATATTGTTTTTCTTTTCTAAGTGTATGTTTTTCTTATATAGTGGAAATTAGACTGTATATTTAGTTACCTGTATATCATAACCATTTCCTTATATCATTGTTTTTCATAATTATGATAGTGTATGTATAGTATTCCATAGTGATAATATACCACAATTAGCCATTTCCCTATTGGTAGACCCATCCTATCAATTACCAGTGGCCCAAGTAATTTTTTCATTTAATGGACTCTGGATTGTTTCAAAGGAATCTAATCCTTTTGGATTTTGCTCAGCCCTAAATATAACTAATCCCTTCTGCTACAAGGGTCTTTGCTTCTGATTACAGGACAATGTGCAATGTCTGTAAATATGTTTGTATAGTTCTGTGTAAAGTTGGTGTGCATTCAGCTGAAACCAGTCCATAGCAGCTGCTGCTCTCTCTGTGGGGCCATGATAAAATTCATGCATTCAGAAGGAACCTTGGAAGGCAGGGGGTAGGAGTTGGAACAAGTGATTGTTCCCTGGAAGCCAATCTGGTGCTCTAATCTTTATACTTATTGTAAGTCACCAGGGCCAACAGGAGACCAAAGTATGTTAATTGTAATTTGCAGCCCAACAGCATTAAAGACTGATACTAAACCTCAAATAAAGGTTCTACATCCAGTCAAGGGCCTTATAGTAATTAAATGTTTGCAGGTAAGTGACCACAGACTAAGTAAAATCTATAAAACTCATGTTGAGGAGTCTGATGATCAAATATACCGACACTATCATGATGGGTGCTTAAAGAACAATAATAACAAAAGCCTTCAACATAATATTGTTTTTGTCACAAGTTATTAAAATATTTTTATAGCTTGTATGCCACCTTTACAATAAAATGAAACTAGTTTTTATCATAATTTTGTATTTTAGTATACTGTCAACAGTAGAAATTGAGTTTACAGAGGGAAAATCTATAGGCTATGAAAGTTATGATTTATTTTAAAAATTTAAAAATATAAACCACATACCAAGTTGCCTCTAACAAGGGCTGTGCTGGGTTGGGCATCCACATAGAATGGTGCATGTAAAGGGAAATTGGAAGTGCTAAGAGGCATGTCAACTGTTCCTGTCCATTCTCACTCAGTACTGTCTCCATGCCTTTACAAAATACATCACGTTGCACCACAGTATTTAGATTACTGGTTAACAGTTCAAAATTCAGCTAATCCAAGCTGCAGTATCCAAGACCTCTAAGCCTCAGTGGCTTAAAAAGACAAGTGTTTCTTGCTCATACTACATGTCCATCAGGAGCGAGACTCAGATCTGATCCATTTCATCTTACTCCAGAACCTGGAATAAAGGAGCAGTCACTCTCTGGACCATGCTGGTTTCCCAGCAGAGGGAAAAGAGAATGGCAACATTATGCTCTTCAATAGCTTTTGAAGGAGTCTCTTCGAAGTGGCCCGTTTCACTTTTGCTTACAGTCCATTCATTGAGAGGAGTCATCTGACAAAGGCTGCTGTCTGTGAGATGACAATGAGAAAGTAAAGCATGTCTTTCTACAGGCATTACTATTTAAAACTACAAAATGAATCTCCATGTTATACTTGCACTGATTCCTTCTGCAACACAAGTATTGCAATAGATGATTCTACTAAAATTATTCACGTTTTCTATAATCTCCAAGTGCACATCTTTTGGTAGAACAAGCCACGCTGGTGGATATTACCTGAACTGAGTCAAACTGAACCTATTCTTTTATTGTGCTATCAAGCCACAGGAAATCACAGACTTTGGAAAAATGTTCTAACAATTGCACATTTGTATTATTTGGATTGAGTCACCAGAACACAGTCATTAGTATTTCAACCTTAAATAACTACAGGTTTTTTTTTTGTTAATATTGCAGTTAGAATGCACAGAGCTGACCTAAATGCATTGTTAATGCCAGATCACAATTTAAAGGCAGTGTGCAATAGTTCCAAAGAGCAGACAAAATGCAAAAGAATCTGCAACAAATATAATCTTATTTGGTGTCATTAGTCACATGAATATATCTGACAGTTCTTCCCATCTGTAAGTCCAGCCATCTTTCCCTTATGGCATGAGTCAATGATGTTTAGAAATTTCTCTGGATAGCCAATCTTTTGTTTCATTTTCCCATTGCAAATTCAGTTAACCAGAGCACATTCTGTTCCTAAATCCTCAAGCACATCATATTTCAGCATGACTTTGGGCCATTGTGATACTGTGCCAGATGAATAATGTTTGTTGTCTTGTGTTTGACAGGAAACTGAATTTTCATTGTCCTGTCTGTGTTGTTATTGACAAATTCTATTGAACCCTCTTCCTCCAGCATGTGTTTACTCTCCAGTGTTCATGAGAGGGGACTAAGTTGTGAATCCAAGTTTTTAAACCTCAGAGGGTTTCATTAATTACTAATGGAATTCTTATTAATGTTTTAATGTGTTGCCTTATTTTTCTCAAAAATTGATGTAAGCTTGAAAAACCAAGGCTGAAATATAGACTTCCTGCTGCAGTTTTCATGTGCGTAATTATTAGTTCATGGGAATATATCTGACTAATCCTTATTTTCTATTGCTTCCCATTTTGCCCATCTCATCATACAAGACTGGCTTAAAAAATCATCCACACTCTTTCATGTAACTTTAATCTGCTCGATTGGCAATTTCTCTCAGCCTCTGCAAATGTCAAAACATTCACACTGCCTGCCTTTCTTGGCCCATCAGCAAGTGTCCCTCTAGTGGTAGATAAAGGAATTTCCTTATCTCCACTAACAACAACTTATTTTCCAGAAGACCATTCCAACAAGGGAGAAATGCTTTAAAGGATATGATGAATATGATAAAATGAAGTATCGCACAACTTATTTGAAATGTTTTTTTAAAAGGAAATTTAGCTACTCTTATTTTTCCCTGATTCCACCTATACTCTGTGCATTACCAAAGAGATTCTGCCCTGCTTCTGCTATCCTCCTATGACCATCAATTATCTGTTCTGTGTAAAATATCATTCCATGCTCAAATCCTTTTTAATTTCTCATTTTGCATTTCAAGCTCCCAGTCAACCACCAGGAAATGTTGTTTGGAATGCTACAGACACAAAAGTGTTACTTAATTGGGAGCAAGTTAAAGCAATGGAGAATGAATCAGAAGTAACAGGATATAAAGTAAGTCATATCATTTACAATGCTTTCTTTTCTGACTTCTAGCAGTACTTTCCAAGGGAAGTTAGGTTTTCATTTTTCTAAATGTTGATGAAATGGTTTCTTAATCTAATGGTAATATACACATATCAAACTTTATAGAAAGGGTATTTTTCCAAAATGTTTGATTTCTTAATGTAAATTTAAGTGAAATAAATTATGCTCATGTGAGAATTTTGGAAAAAATGTAAAACATTGTGTTAATTAGTTTGCTACTTACAGAAATAACTGACAGTATCAGCTCTGATTCCTAGATCTGGATTTCAAGATCAGTACAGTGGGGCCTTGCCCCGTCTCTCCAGCCTTACAAATACCCAAATCAGCAGACCTCTCCATGGGAGCAATTCACTCTTTCCTACCTCTTTGATTTTTGAGAACCTGATGATTCTACTATTATATTAGCCACTAGTCTAAGATCAATGGATAGAGCTATGAATTCAGCTTATATTCTAGTGGGTATAGAAAGACAATAGAAATGAGGTAACATCAGAGTAGTAAGTTCTACGAAAAAAATTAAAGTGGGTAATAGAAGCGATAAATGTATTTGTTCACACATTTTAGGTTTTCTATAGGACTAGCAGGCAAAATAATGTGCAAGTACTGAACACAAATGGAACTTCAGCTGAACTTTTGCTGCCCATTAACGAGGACTACATTATTGAAGTTAAGGCCACGACAGATGGAGGGGATGGGACCAGTAGTGAACAGATCAGGATTCCAAGAATGACCAGTAAGTAGGTCAAAGTTGACTTTTCCTTTATTTACATCAGTGTTATGAGTCCCCTGAAGTGGTTAGTGTCTAGTGTCACTGTTCTTTTTCCCACCATGTCTTTCATTTGAATGTTGAGAAGGTTTTGGAATACGATAGATGAAGACAAGAGGAATTCCTCATGAATGATGCAAAATAAGGAGAAAGATAATAATGGAAAGACAGAAGAGACAGTGAAAAATATTCAGCGAAACATTCATCTGAATTTTTTTCTTCATTCTGAGTCTGCTGAAATTTGCCTTTGGATTGCCTATAAAAACAGAATTCCTTAAAACATTTCTTCAGGGCAATGTTGAGCCCACAAACTGTTTTTAGTATCTTTAAAATTTCGGTTTTTTGGCCCCTAGGAATTACAGATGATTCTTATGAACTCTTTAAAAAGTAAAAGCAGTTAACATTGTTAAGATCACAAACCACTTGGCCAAACCACAAAGCACCTTTTTAAAAAAATTTCTTAGTTTCTGATTTCAGAGGAGGTTCATACTAACTTTTCCCTCAAAATGCAAGTGAAACTTCTTTTACTATAGGAATTACACTTCTAGAGTTAAGAGAAAGAGACTTGCCCACACATTTAATTAATGCTAATGGTAGAGAAAATCTTACCTTTTCTTTCAAATCTCTAGTCAGGACTTCTTGGGTCTCAAATGAAGTACTATAGAAGCCATCTTCTCTTCAGACTATTCTGTCATTCCTGGTGATGTAAATAACTTTGTTCTGTTTCCTTTCATTGATCTTGGCCTAATCTATAGTCTTGGGCATTTGAGATTAAAACCTTTATCTTTTATCTTAGAAAACAAAATGACTGACATTGTTAGCAGGTGAAGAACAGGGGGATATGCAAATATGGGGGAATTTCACCTTTCTGTTAAATCATAAAAATTGCGCTACATAGATTTAAAACAAATAACGAAAGTATACTAAGAAAATGGAAAGCGTTCATCTCAAAACTGAGTTCTGCAACATAAAAATCTGTAAAAATCATTGCAGACTACAGACATTTTTTAAACCAGTTGCACTTTAATAGAGCAAAGCAGGAATTAATTTTAGCTTGTTTTTATTATTAAGGTTTTAAAAGAATTGAGATATGCTCTCTTATTCCTAGAATAGTGTGAGATAAAGAGTTAACATTATAATACGGCCAAAGTGGGACTGTTCAAAGGAATAGTTTCTATGATTTTTCAGGGACAGACTCTATTTTAGCATGTTAGGGCTGCTGAGTCAAGAGTAGCCTTTTCAACTGATGTCTGCCACCTTGCTGAGCTTGCATAGCCAAATGCAGACAAAGCCTTCTCCAGGAAAATGGAACTTTTATTGATAGCTTTTATTTACGATGATGTTTTCTATTATGCATAACAATTTATCTAGAACTACATAAAATAGAAACACAGATTTTCCAAATGAATCTTTCTTTAACTAAACCATTGAATTATCTCAAAATTATCTGTAATAGAGTATAATTGTTTTCAAAATGATGAAGTTGTTTTTCCAATTTCAATTAAAGTCAAATAATACTAGATGAACAAAGCCTAGAATCCCTTAAGAAAACTTAAATACCATCAGTGTATTTATAGATGCTCTCAGCAACTAGTATATGCCGCATTGATTGATAAGTAAAAAAAGACTAATAACAAGTTGGGGTCCTAGGTCAGGTTCATGATATAATTTGATTTGAAAAGGAGAAGCATTGCTTTTCCCTGATTACTTTATTGGGTCTGTCCTTACTAATGAGTTGTTTATCATTTTTGACAGATATGGATGCAAGAGGTTCCACTTCAGCCATCTCCAATGTCCACTCTGTGTCAAGTTATATACCTATAGTACTGTTCTGTATTGTAAATGCCCTGTGGTGATATTAATTTTTTAAAATTATTTACTGGAAAGTTTATTGGTTACAAAAAAAGTGCTTTCATGAAATGCAGTGATTATGCATGTTTTTTTTCAACTCTGTATTTTTAACTTTCTACATAGATAAAATATGAATATGATTTAAAAAAACTAAATCCTTTTAGGGGAATCTAAAATGCCTTAATATTTGCTTGATAAACCAAAGGAATTTACATAGTACATACTTCAGACTTTTGATATATTCTTAAGCTATGATTTTAAGCACTGCCTATAGATACACACACACATTTATTTGTTTGTTTTTAGTGTAGAAAAGCTCATTTAACCTAAATGCTGTTTTCACATTCTAACAGCATTGTTTGGAAGACTTACTCAGTTTCCTTTGAAATGCTCACTTGAAACACTCCAGGGTGAAAATACATTTCAAAAATTACTCTGTGTCAAAGAGGATATATACATGATTCAAAAGAATGTTGGAAAATGCCCCACTACTGGTCAGAAGAGCCTTTTTGTTCAGGTATACTATGGAGTAGTTGTAAAATTCTTTACAAATCACTCTGCTCTCTCTACTTCCCAATTGCTCATCTATAAAATGTGAAGATAATAATAACCGTCTTATCTGCCTCTGCCCCATGAATTTACTTGTTAAAAGATGAAGAAGGAAATATGAAAGTGCTTTGTTACCCCAGTGTGATGGACCTGTGCAAAATATTACTACAAATTCATTTAACCATATAAAAGTCATGAGGACCAGCCACATTTATAAAGTTTGCATTTGATTCTAGGCAATGTTCTCTTTTTCGTTTGGTGAGACTATAAATTCGAAATGATTGCATTTTATATCATTCCTCAAAAAAATTTTTTTTAAATTAAAAAGGAATTATTTCCTTCACACCTCTGAATAGGCTTTCAGGTTTTATTAAAACATGGTAGAGAAAATAAGCAATGACCTGAATGTCAACCCAAATATTATACAAAATCTACATAATCCTTCATTTCCAATTTCTGATTCCATTAAGGGATCCTCTATTTTTTTGGATGGGGAAGAGGGTTTTTTAATGAAATCCAACAGTATATCAGAGTGAGTCTGGCAGGCTTTTTAGTTCCTGAATTAAATTTAATAGAACCATGGCAGTGCTGCTGACTTTGATATGTATGACTCAGTCTTTCAATATGTGGTTTTCAAAGTATCGTTGAAGATGTGACTTCATAGCAATACATAAAGAATATATGAAAATCAGCAGATTGTTGGACATTGCAAAATCCATTTTTTACCTCTTCCTACAATTTCACATTTTGCAGGAACTTGGTCTTCTTTGCAAAGATATCAGAATTTGAAACCAGAAAGTTCAGCTACCAACGAAGAATAAAAATTAGCAGAAGTTCTGATATCACCATAAAACATTACTTCACATTGAGAAATTACATTTAAGATAGTCATTATACACAAAGGAGAAAAATATAACTTTCTCTGCAAGTTCTGTATATACTTGTATATATATAGAAAAAATCTGAATGACTAGTAGATTTCATATGACCATTGTTATTTCCAGTCAAAAAGTGGGAAACACTTTCTCCAATACCTACCTGTATTTTATGCTACATGTAATAGAATTGTACCTTTTATTATTTAGTAATTACTATAATATGTTCCTACACTTTTTATTTGCAAGGTGATAACATGATTTCATGGCATTTCTAGCAATATATCTCCATGAGATATGCACTTTGTTTCATATTGAAAAGTATAAAATTTATCTTTTAATTCTGTGTGTGTATCCTATGGTTATCTGTATGTATTATTTTCTATTATTCTAATAAAATTTATAACAATCAAATGTCCATTCATGATTAATAATTAATAATGGTATGGTCAAAAAGAACATTTAAAGGGGAGGAAAAAAGAGGGTATCATAGTAGTTAGGCTGATGCTGTCATTTCCTCTCTTTTTCAGTCAACTTTTAGTCTTTCCATCTTTTAACAGGATATTTTTAGAAATATTTTTATACCCTATTAACTCAGTAAAATCAGTAATTTGAAACGGTGCCCTCTATATTAAAAGTTTATCAGGTAGAGGGAGAGAAGGACAAGAAGGGAAACAGAAAATTAACTTTATATAATTATGGTTCTGATTCTTCTGATTTATTTGGTTGAGGGTGGCTACTGGCACATTTTTATGATATTTTCTTAAGATTACTATCAGTATCAAGTCTTTTCATAGGCCTTCTCATTGATATCAGTATTAGAAACTTGCTTTTTAAACAATCTTTGCAGTGTAACCAAAATATCTGGAAAAAAAAGCTAAAAAAAGATTAGTTTTCAATTAGTAAAGAGTTTCAACTGTTATTGTTGATGTAAGGAAAATTAGAGCTACAAATAATAATTCCATTTTCTTACATGAAAATTCAAAGATATATTTAGAGGCAGGAGAATTAATAGGGGTTGTGCCAGGATGTGAGGATATATCTGTGGGTGTGATTTTAAATTTAAGTATAGTTGTTCTAGGTGCATGGATGTACCTTAATGAAGGACAAAGATCTAGGGTATATGCAGAAACAGAATATTCCACCGAAACCAGTCCTAATGTCCTCTCTCCTGAAGCAAAGGCTGCTCAATGGAGCAGAATCAGGTCAACTTTGAGTCATTCTACCTTCATTAGAATAATACCTTCTCCGATTAGTGACCATGTTATCTTGTTCAAATCCCCTAACTTCTCTAAGCCACAGTATATATCTGCCAAATGGGATCATAGTAGTATTACTCTCACACAGTTGTCAGATCTTCCGAGAGTACAAAACTCCTCTGCTGACATTTCCTGTTGAGGTTACTCGTGCTGACCACTTAAAAGACTGGGAGTTAAGGAATGAAATGACCTGTGTGAGTGCTTGAGCCATGTCCTTACTGCTCTTCCTGTCAGTAGGTGAATATATGATGCTGGAAGACAAAAGACAACATTTGAAGGTGGCTTTGTTTTAATATTTTTGGAGCTCTTTTTCAGTCTCAGTCTACCAAGAAGAAAGGTATATGAATCCAGGAGTTCCTAGAAGACAGGGTAAAGTATTTCTGGTATCAGATTCTTTTTTCTAATAATATTATAATATATCTTTACTCTCTATGTACCAGAGTCTGAGTTAAGCACTTTAACTTTGCTAAATTCATCTTCACAGCACTCTTATTAGTTAGGTACCAAGACCCTTTTACGAATGAGGAAAACAAATCTCAGGAAGATTAAGTAAATTGTACAGGGTCATCCTAGCAAGGGCACAGTAAAATAGAATTTTAACCCAGGCAATCCGGCTAGAACCCCTGAGCTCTAAAGCAAGAGTAGGTTCTTAATCCCTCTCAAAATAAAATCCAACCAATTTAGAGATTTTGAGTAAGTATTTCTAGTACTAATGTGTAATGTAGCTTGTTTTGCCTCTAGTATTGAATGTAATTCAAATTGGAACTAAAAATCTATAAAGCCTGGCTTCTTCCTTTGTATATTGTAAATTTTGGAACTCTACATCTCACATAGAAAGCTATCCAAGCTAATGCTGATCCAGCTTTAGAATTAAGTAAAAATTGTTAACAAAGTATTTTTGCTGTTTTAAAAAATTTTTCTAGGCTCCATGTGTAATTTTCACCAACAGTTTTTTGAGGTAGTCTGTGTTGGTTTTCAATATTTTTTACCATTTTCAATGAAAACCTAACAGCATACGTAATTCAATCAAATCAGGAAAATGAAAAATGTTTAGGATGTTACAAGTTCCTTTTTCCAATTAAAATCCCCCCTACCATTTCATATTTTCAAATGCCACCTGCTTTTTAATTTAAAAATAATCTTACTTGGATTCATTTTTTTTCTAAAGCCTTTTACCCTTTTTAAAAATGAAAATTGTCCCGATTTTCATTGTAATTTGGATACACTTTAGTAAATATTGGAGGTAAAATCAACCCACAGTTGCAATAACAAAATTAGCTATTAGTAAATTATACCATTCTTTGAAGCTAAAATATGTAAACAGATTGCAATATGGTTTTCATTTAAATTGTTAGGTTTTTCTGTTGTCATTTTAACTTGAACCATGTTCCCTAATTTAACATGTCTTGCTTTTTATGTAGGTGATTACTACCTCTTGAACTTGCATGCAGAATAAATGCACTGACACATAATTAAATTTGTAAGGAAGGATGTTTCTATTGTTTCTATTATTCATCAGTCTACATTTTTATATTTTACTGTTACTCTGCTCATTGACATTGTCTTAAAGCCAGTGATTCTACCTTGATCACTAATTCTGTGGGGCAGAGAAAGAACTAGACCCTGTAAAATTGTATGATACCTAGGAAGACTCTGAAAAGAAAGACATGATAGGCATGACAAATTAGCAGATTTATTTTGGCGTCAGACAGAATGTGACAAACAACAAAGCTGATGTAAAATGTACATCTAGAGTGGCTAGTGAGGATATCCATTCAGTATGAATGTTATGTTGGTCTGTCCAAAACATCCAGATAAAAATGGCTACCCTTAAAAAAAATGACTAAAAAAATGTATCAATTAAAAAAAAAAGAATGGCTGCCCTTACAAGGCTAAATTTCAAGATCACACATTGATTGCTCATTGGGATTATAAACTCTGACACAGTAAATACCCCCATTGTGCATGGCTCATTTTTATCTGTTTAGTATATATTTGTTAAAACAAATCAATGAATATTCAACATTTCGTGTCACCCTCTCCTGTTTAGCTTAATTTTTCCTCCTGTGCTGCTGTTGTAAAGAATAAGGTGATGATTAGAACAATAAGAGGTTTTGTAATATTTTATTTGAAATAATTACAAGAAATCGATCATCTGTATTAGGAAAGTTGACCCAACTGGGAAGAAGACAGTATAGACTAGTGGTAAGAGCACTTGTTCCTAGTCATACATCTGGGTTGGAATCCTAGCCACATTCCCTAAAGAACTGTGTGACCTAGGACAAGCAGGTTAATCCCATGAGACACAATGTTTCTCTCTAAAATGGCACCAATGGAAGGGCCTGCCTTGGAGGACTGTCGTGACTAATGACTTATAATTACAGAAAGCTTTTATCATAGTTTAGCTCAGATGTACTCGATAACAGTGTAACAAGTTAATAATATTGTTGTTATTATTATTGGGTTTTAAATGCTGGAGTGTTCAAGGTGATGTACGCATAAAGGCCAAATAACACATAATAAAACTACCAAGGGTGGCTCATTATTTCATCCAGAGTATTGGACACTGGTCTTAGGACAGGAGAGATATGACAAGATTCCTCTTCTTGGGGACTTAGATGCAAGTAATATAGCAGAAGAAGGAATTTGAGAGTGAGAAAGATAATGGAATATATGCTTAAGTAGTTGTAAGAACTAAATGTTTATAGAGCTCATAGGACAAGACAGCACAAGCACATGTAAGGAGTTAGTTTCTGCTGTCCACAATTCCTACTTTCTCAGAAGGGACTCAATTTGGCCAATGGCTCAGAATGTTGCTGCAAATCAAGGTTACTGATGATATTCAGAAAGATGTTAAATCTCAGACAAAAAGCTTTACTGCTTCTGCCTTTAACAAGGCCTGTATATAATCTCATACATGTTACTTGTGAATTATACTAATTAAGTTGATAGTGAAGTCACTTAAGCTGGTAGGGCTGGTCTGGGCTGCAGAGAAGGCTCTCGAAGTTGTCTGAAGAGCTTGAGGAATTTTTAGAGAGCCTTGGCAGAGAGAACTGTCAAGTATAAGTCCTATGAAAAGTATCCAAAAGAAGCCCATTGAAAACAACACTATTTTTGTGTTCTTACCTAGAACAGGTTACCTGCAACAGCTAGGACCATTATGTATGAGTGACAAAGTCCTGCAGGGATTGGAAGTGCCAAAGGAGACGACTTTAGCTACTGCTAACCTTGTGCAAAAGAGCTTTCTCCCTTCAGAAATTAAGCACGTTGTGTCTGTGCAACTTCTGACCAGGCCCTTTCTGTAGGGGAAAAACAAAACAAAACAAAAAACGCCATTCTCTCCTGTTCCCACATTTTTGTACAGAATGGTGAAAAAAATTTCCAGTCTTCCCATGCCAAAGCTCTGGAGATTCACCTCATAGTAATGAAATGATCTTGCAGGGAGAGAACAACAGATGAAAATTTTGATCTAAAGAAAAGGCCCAAGGGAGAATAAGTGTGGGTTTTGTTACCAAGAGGTCGGGCCTCAGAAATAGGGGGCCTTTCCCTGTTCGTGTCTCGAAGCCCACTGTACGAAACCGGAAGTGGGCGCCAAGCTCGGCAGGTGCCGTTCAGCAGCGGAAGGATGGAGAAGCGGGAGTGAAGCTCCCAAGTCACCTCAGCTTGTGCTGGGACCTCGTAGATACAGGACACTTTTAATGAAGGGGCTGGATTATAAAAGCGAAAGGGAGGAATATTCATGCTCTTTGTGAGAATGGGGCAGAGAACTGGAACCAGAATACTGCCTTTCGTCCCTTTGTAGGTTCGCACAGGCGTTGCCATGGTGATTGTGCGCGCTACAGGTGCAAGCAGCAGTACAGTTCAGTATGGAAATTAGATGATGAGGTAAGAGGCGAGACGCCATCTTGGATCCCGCCGGTTCCAGCCGGTCTGGCTGCGCGTCGGCAACCTTCTTCGCGAAGGCGGAAGGCAGGAGAAAGTTCAGCCAGGGCAGGTCAGCACGAAAGGGTAACAGTGTATTTCCCAGAATACTACTAATTGAAAACACTCCTCTTATTTTCACGGGCCTTGGTTGGAAAAAACTTCAGTACCTTCAAAGAGAATTCCTTTAAAATGACCCGTC